CGCGCGTAGTTCCGGGCGGCGCCGCTACGCGGCGAAGGTTGAGCGAGCCAACCTGGAAGTAGAAAGCGGTCAAGCGGGGATATAAGGCGGACCCCCTGCGGAGAAATCGTATATTTGTTTTTAACAACTGAGTTCGTTTCAATTGCAGAAACACCGATTCAATAATTGATTGTGACTCATGATAACGGCAAATCCGATTTCACATTACATAAAATCGATTTACTTTTATCTGCGAAATAATAAAATTTTTTATTAAAAGGGATTATTTTTACCTATGGATTGACTATGGTACATTCCATTTTAATTGCATTAAAACAGGTTTAATTATAACTTGAAATCGTAGAAAAGTAACTATTCCGCGTTTCCTTTTTACCTATGGATTGACTATGGTAATTTCCAATTCAATTGCATTAAAACAGGTTTAATTATAACTTTATGAAATCGTATAATTTCGGATTGAGGTAGAGATATATCATCTAACATTAACCTCGCCTGAAGCGTACTAAATTCGATTTGACTATTTTCAATCGGTTTTAATACCGCATTTTCGGTGCAGAAATCCCGATCGATTCGGATTACATTTTTTAAAATCCGTTTTAATCGACCATTTTCGGCAGGGTAAGTTCCCACACCCGTGTCGCGGCCCCATCGTAGGGACCACCCCACCACACGTCGAATTGCGCGAGTGGGAGGCCGGCTGCCGGTATATTAGGCGGTCCGGCGAGCGTATCGCTACCAGTTCCCGAGCCCGATTCCTGTCACGTACAACTCTCCGGATCCCGAACCGACTCTCGTGTTACACCAGGCTACGGGCTTCCCGTAGTTAGGCCGGGCTTCCCGATTGCTGGGACGACACACCCTGATACCCCGCGTTATACCAGGCTACGGGCTTCCTCTAGTTAGGCCGGGCTTCCCGGTTGCTGGGACGGCGCATCCTGATACTCCGCGTTATACCAGGCTACGGGCTTCCCGTAGTTACGCCGGGCTTCCCGGTTGCTGGGACGGCGCATCCTGCTAGTTTATAAGTCTGTACCGCGTTATACCGTAAGATCGTTTGTAAATACCGCGACCTGTTACACCGTAAGACCGCTTTGGTTTCCGCGTCCTAAGGGACTCTAGTACCGCCTTGTATATACCGCGATCCTGTTGTACCGTGAGACCGCTTTGTTCTCCGCGTCCTAAGGGACTCTAGTACCGCCTTGTATATATCACGATCCTGTTGTACCGTAATGCCCGTATCAGACTACGCATTGAAAATTGAAGATTGAAGATTAAAGATTGGAATTTGACTAATCAGAACAAAAAGGACTAAAATTTCTTTATTCTGATTGGTCAAATTTCAATCTTCAATCTTCAATCTCAATCTTCAATGCGTAGTCTGATACGGACTTAAGACCGCTTTGGCCTCCGTGCCTAGATATACGCTAGTACCGCCCTGTGTATATGTCGCGACCTGTTAGGTTACAAGATCCGCACTGTATACACCGCGCATTGTCATTGTAGAGTGAATTAGCCATATTACGATTTCCGCCGGTGTCGCGCCGACTCCATCTTTACACACGGCCTTCAGACTACAACAGCGCGCTAGTCCTTCTAAGGATAAGCCGCAGAAAGTGCGGACGCCCCGTCCTTCTAAGGATAAGGTAGTCAGGCAGTTGGAATTACATTGAAGGCCACGCGACCCCCCGTAGCATTTAAGATCAATTCTGTTTGTCTTAGAATAACAATAGTTGCTTGCATGCGAATACCGCGATCGCAGAACACGTCCGCATGAGCCGCACTCGCTTCCCGAGCTCCACGTGCACCAGCCAACGCGTAGAACCGCTATCGCGAACATCTGTACGCACCGCTCTCGCATGTTGCATTGTAAATAGTATAGCTTTCGCGAACTTCTGTACGCACCGCTCCCGCATGTTGCATTGTACATATACTATAGCTTGCGGTGTTTAACTATCTTTCACAACTATTTGAATAAACGCATTATTTAACCGCTTATACCGAGGAAGAGTAAGTTGGAGTTTCCCCCT